CATAATAAAAAATAATTTCTTCTCACCTAATATTTTACCTAATGCAAGAAAATCTATCAAACATTTAAAACAAGATTACATTCAAAAGATTTGCTGCCATTTTGCAGCCCATGTGCAGCTTTATGCTGTTGTCTATTTGCTGCTACTGTGCAGTCATGTTGCAGCTCTCACGTCTTTCAATTTGCTCCCACTGCTGCAACTTTGACACCACAACTCTAACAGTTCATAATTTTAATGTAACATTAGATAAATATAATATAACATTATAATTATATTATTTTTAAAATAAAAATTAAATTCCATTCTTGGGCGGCCTATTATATATATTGACTTTCAGAATTCAATGTCATGGGCTTCATACATAGCTAAATAAAAGACGTTATCTCAATGTAAATTCCATCTTCTCTCATTCTACATCAAATCAAAAATGTTTTTTAAAGGTCTTAATTGAAAGCGAGAAAAATGGTTCCATCTTCGCGCGTCCCTGGATCTTATGGAGCCGTGTCTCGTGGATTCATTAGTGATTTTTGAGGCAGAAGCTTCATGCATTTTTGAGCTGGTTCCCCCAGGTCCAACCCAACCCAGATTCCTTCCTATCAATATCACAGAATTACAAATGCAAGGTGAGACAAGAATGTGGTTGCATTGTTTTGTTTGAATCACATTTAATTTCTCGACTTCAATAGTCAAAAGCTAAAGATAGGTCATATAAATTTTTAGCTTTAATTTTTACCATTGCATTTTTAAATTTGATAAAAAATTTTAATCATTTGAATAATATAGGAGAGCATCACAGAGAAAATCAAGCTTGTTGACAGAGAAGCAATCAATCGTTATGACAAATTTATTCTTTAGTTTCTTGATTTGTATTTCCTTCTATGTAAGAATAGTTTTAGGCTAAACTTCTGTCATTAACTTCTATTTAAGCAATGTATTATGTACAGAGAAAGATACAGCTTTCATCCAATTATGTTCTTCTAATTCTCTAGATTTTTCATGGTATTAGAGCAAGTGGCTCATTGACAACAAGTCATTGCTGCAATTTTTAGCTTTGACAGCAAGTTTTTGCTGCACAGCATATTTGAACAGTAACTACAAGTTTTTTTTTGCTGCACTCCATATTTAAGCAATGGCAGATGGGGATCAAAAGACTAGATCTGGTACGACAGGGGGAGCAAACGCAACCCTCAAACCCATAGATTAGGATTCACCCTACTATCTCCATCCAAGTGATGATCTAGGAAGGATTCTTTTAACAACTTTGCTGAATGGGGAGAACTATCATACTTGGAGGAGAGAAATGCAAAATGCTCTTTATGCCAAGAATAAGATTGGATTTGTAGATGGTACTCTTGAGAAGCCGGAGACAATCTCACCTCAATACCAAGCATGGATGAAGTGCAATTCTATGGTGCTCTCTTGGATCCTTAACACAATCACTAAAGAACTGCAAGACAGCGTGGCTTATGCAAAGATAGCAAAAGAAATTTGGAATGAATTGCTGGAATGGTTTACTCAAAGGAATGCATCTCATGTCCATGAACTCAAACTTGAATTAGCAACATTGACACAACAAACAAGGTCAGTATCTACTTATTTCACCAAACTAAAACCAATTTGGGATGAGTTACAGGCACATGAACCAGTACTTGTCTGCACTTGTGGCTACACATGCGAAGCAGCAAAAGAATATGCAAAGGCTCAAGAGATGGAGAGAATCCACCAATTCCTAATGGGATTGAATGAAAACTTTTCCACAACTCGATCCCAAATATTAAGCATGGATCCTTTGCCCTCCCTAAATAAGGTGTATGCAATGGTAACAAAAGAAGAAAAGCAGCAAACAGTGGCAGCATCCAAGGGTCCAAATATAAAAGCCATAGCTCTTGCAATAAGAGGACCATCAGGAAGGTCATGATGTGATCACTGTAAAAAGCTTGGGCACACTAAAGAAAGATGCTATGAGATCATTGGGTATCCTGTGAATTGGAAGCCTGGGATAGGCAAAACCAAGACAAAGGGTGAGGCACAAAAGACAAGACAAGAGAAAGACCATGCCTTTGTAGCTAATGCAGCACATAAGCCCACAGAGGAGTTATCAAATCAGTCTCTAGTTTCTTGGTTGAGCAAAGAGTAGTATGACCAATTCATCTCACTTCTCAGGGGTAATACCATTCTTAATCATTCAGCCAACCACACTAGTAAGGCATAAAACTCATCTTTTCATTGGATCATTAATAGTGAGGCTTCAGCTCACATTACTCCACACCTATCTACATTTACCAAAGCTAAACCTTATACCTCACTTATCCGTATACCCAATGGAACCTCTTTGGAGACATCACATGTGGGAAAAATAATTTTAACCATTGAAATCACTTTAGACAATGCCTTATGCGTCCCAAAATTCACCTGTAATCTTTTATCAGTCAGTGAGATAACCAAACAACTTGGTTGTGTTGTGATCTTCTGTCCTAACTTTTGTGTTTTTCAAGACCTTACCTCGAGTAAGCTGATTGGAGTGGGTAGGCTTCATGAAGGGATGTATTTAATGAGTTGTATCTCTTTCAATATTCATATGGGTGAGCAATAACATGTTGCAACTAGGAGCTATTTATTCCTTAATAGCCAGTAGCCATAGAAGTTACGGATGAGAAATATCAGTTTACTACTAAGAGAGTAGCTAGTAGCACCATAGGTGGGCAGTAGCAATCTATTATTGAGAGCAACATAATTTATGACTGTAGCACGCATAAACAAGACAAGTCTTTCTAGCATGTATGTATGGCTATTACAGGTGAGCAATAGAATTTTCTTTTCTAGTATAAACCATACATGATATAACAAAGGCTGTACTGATTCCAAGAAAACATGACTTCATACATGCCCATCAAAGTTTGCTGCCTCAACATGGAAAAACTATAGAGCAAACCCAGTACCACAAATTAGCCTCAAACTGGAAAATTGTAGTGTAAGTCAAGGTTGTGTTAATTGAACAAACCCTAGACCGAACCCACATTTCAGATTAATTGGATAAACGCTATACCGAACCCATCTCGTTATCATAAAAAATCAAAAGAATAAAAGGCCGCTGATAATTGTATAGCAAAATCAGAGACATAGCAAGAATGGATTTCAATTTGAAGGAATCCCGTAGCCACTAACAACAAAGGGTCGGATGTAGAGAGAGGAATCGCCTGAACTCGTTGACTGCCATCCTCGATTCAAGGGTTTTTGGCCTCAGAATGAGATTGTCTCGCCCAATTGAAGAAATCGGAGTCGATTTACTCATCTACGGCTTGAAGATAAAGAGTGAAGGCGAGAGGGAATTCTTAATGGAGATTCTCACTCCTCTATCATCTCCCTTTCTCTCTGATTTGGAGCTCTAGTGCTCCTCTAGGTTTACAACGGTTGATTTTCTTCCTGCTATCGGCGTTGCTTTTTGTTTTTGGTTAAATACTCAATTTGATCCCTCAACTTTTTTTTGGAACCAAATTCATCCTTAGACTTTATAAAGTACCAAAAACATCCTTCAACTTCAATTTTCAAGACTAATTTATCTTTCCGTCACTTAAGTACTAAACAAGCTCATTTTTCCAATCAAGTAAAGGACTATTTTATATTTTGAATATTA